TTTATTTTTGGATTCCCTCCTCCATTCCTTCCTTTGGTAGCAATCAAACCCATCTACCATTGAGCCACATAAAGCCCAGTGTGTACTTTTGACCCCAGGGCCTTACACATGCCAGACAAATGCTTTACCATTGAGCTATACCACGCAGTTCCCAAATGAAGCTTTAGTTCTATAGTATATAGCATAAACATCAAGTCCCATTTGTTCTAACGGCCTGAAGAATGACATTTGGTATCATTTGGTGTTTATGTTCTTCATTACACCAGATAAGCTGTGCCATGGCTTAAATTTATTGATAAAATCTCAAAGACAGAATTGTGCCCACTATAAAATAAAACTGCTGTCATTTTCAAATATCTGTGATGATGGCAGAGGGTGTGTACAGATCAGTGGCAGAGTGCTTGGCTTGCATGTGCAGGCCCTGTGAGCAATCCCCAGCACTGGAGAAAGAAGTGAAAATAAGAGATGCGAGTGCTTCCTGTAAAGTTTTTGGCTCATCTCTGAGTTCATGAGGGTGGAATCAACTTACAGATGGATTTGAATTTAATCATTTATCTCCCTGAATCTGGAATCATTGTGATTTCTAGACTCTTGGCCTGAACTTTAGGCTTTAAGTTTGAACGGGAAGTAACTGACCTTCACATTTTAGTTTTTGGAGTTTTCAACATAGAGAAAATTGAGCTAATTATCAATCTACTCAAACAGGTTATTAGTGAGTATAATTCTCATATGTACTCTTTGAGTGTGTGTGGTGCATGCATGTGAGTGTGTAGGTATCCCCATGAGGAAACTGGGAGGAAGACATTGGATGTCTCTCTTTACTGCTCTCTGTCTGGTCCTTTGTGATAGGGTCTCTCACTGAACTGAAGCTCCATTTCTGCTAGGCTGGTTGGCTAGCTAGCTCCCAGAGTTCCCTTGTCTTTGCCTTCCATCACTGAGGTTACAGCCATGCCTGGCTTTTTATGTGAATATTGGGGATATGAACTTCGGTCTTCATGTTTCCAAAGCAAGTACTTTTACCCACTGAGCCATCTCACCAGCCCCATGTACTTTTTTTTCTCCTTTCTTTCTTCCTTTCTTTCTTTCTTTCTTTCTTTCTTTCTTTCTTTCTTTCTTTCAGGTCTCTATAGCCCAGTCTGTCTTTAACTCAGAGAAATCCTCCTGCCTCAGCCTTCTGAACACTGAGATCACAGGTATGAGCTACCAATGCTGCCTGACAGTGTCCTGTTTCCCATTTATTGTTGGGTAGAGCTTTGTCTTCATCTTTCTTGTCATGAGAGTGTGACTCATGTTTTGGAATACTGAACAAGTGGTAGGTGCTCTGCCGAGTTCTCTGAGTATAACCTTCTATCCCTACTGCTACCCTGTGAAGTAAGGATACTATGTGTATGTCTAATTTTCAGATGAGAAGGTTGAGATTTGTAGAGACTGAAGTGATATGCATCCGGTCACCCACTGAGTTAATGATAGAGCAGGGGACCCAGTACACAGACACTTTCTTTGCTTGTGTTCAAAATAACAGGAAAATACCTTTACTTGTTTGGTGGCTGCTAACTTCACTGGCAGGAGATGCTGGGGGTTTAGAAGAATCAGAATGCCTGCCTTTGATTTGCTTGACCCAGCTGAGTGCCAGGTATATGGCTTGACAAGTTGAGTCAAGTGTAGTCTCTTTGTAGGATCTCAACCATCAGTCTGGTATGGTAACATCTATTCTATATATTCTATATACTATATACTATATGCTATATGCTATATACTATATACTGTATACTAACAGTAACTAGTCTGTGGGTTTGACATGTGCTCTGTAGGAATGAGTGGGGATGGGGACCATGTACAGAAGGGGTAGGGAGGACTTCAGAAAGAGGTGAAACCTAAGGAGGTGCTTAACTAGATGAGAGGAGTCAGCCTTGGGAAGAGTGGAGAGCAGTCTGAAGGGCCTGGAAGCCAGAGCGAGCATAGAGAAACCTGTCAGGTAGTGAATTCCTTGTAACTCTCTTATCAGGAAAGTGGGACTGGTCAGACAGGTCCCCCCCCCCAACCACGTGTTTTTGATGATCCTTACTTTATTCTTTAGCGCAGGAAGGAGACTCTGTGGTAAGGACTTAACAACTTTAGAACAATATTAGTCAGTTGCTTTCTTGAATGAAGCAGGTATTATAATAGTAGTCATTCCTACACCTTGCTTTCCAGATTAAGTGTATATTTAAATACTGGATAGCATCTTGACAGGCATACTATGAATTACTGTGAACACCTAATACTTTGTCATGATGCTTCACTAACCAAGGAGCCCTGCATTCTCTTTTATCAGTGACCAGAACCTGTTAATCTTAAACCCAAGTACTTGGTACTTCTACTGAGGGGCTGGCTATTTTGGATGGGTGTTATTCTGGATGACATGTTTCAATGACATGTGGGAGTGCTGTTATTGACTCAGATATAAACTCCTACCTTGAGGGCTCTGGTTGGGTCTCCCTGCCTTAGGCCACCAGGTAGG